TCTGTTGTTTTTAACGAGCTCAAGAACCAGGTTCTTCTTGGAGATTCACAGCAAATGATGAGGGACAATACACACAAGCTACAGTATGGGTAACTTCAACCAGGCCTTAGGGGGGGAAAAACAAAGCAAAAAAAAAATCTCATGGTTAGAGTGGTCAAACACTGGGACAGGTTACTTACAGAGGTTGCAGAATCTCCATCCTTGGGGATATTCAAAACTCAAATGGGCACGATCCTGAGCAACCTCATCTAACTTTCAATCTGGCTCAGCACTGAGCAGAGTGGCAGCCCACGAGGCCTCCTGAAGTCTCTTCCAATTGCAATTATTCTGTAGTTCTGTGCTCCAGCCTCAGCTCACTTGGGCTATAACAGTGATTACTCCTTCACCACAGCCCGTTAAACCCGAGTGATGCATCTGAAAGACTGTTTCCCTTTTGCTTTCTTGACATGATCTGCTTGGGCAGCTGACCTGACCCACGCAATTGGAGGGCTGCAAACTAGTTTAGGATAAAACATTCTAAATGGCCAACTAAAGTGACTAGCAACTAGAAACTATATATGAAATCAACCAAGAGAAGGATCTGGCAAAAAAACCACAGCAAGCAGCTGGGCAGCAAGATGGCCCGGAAGAAATTGGTCAGTAAAATAGTGCAGGGAACACAACACCAGACAGCACTGCCCCGTGGACAGCAGACTGGAACCTAAGCCCCAGAGTTTCACCATCCTTAAGTCAGCTATACTACACTACATAAAAATTGTAAGGTATCATAAGTCATTTCATAATCCACGTATAAAACATGCTATTTCCCTCCGTTGTCAAGCCAGGTATGGATCACCACCTACTGCTATAGCCCAGGCAGTTCCAGCCTGAACTGGCATTTAGAGGTTCTAACTCTGTTAAGGACATGAACAATGATCAAAGATACCCCAGAAAAAAAAATCCTCCTTTTGCTTCCACTTGCTTTAGGGATTAATAAAAAATTAAAAACCCAAGGGGAAAACTACATACCCAAAAACTATGTTAAAGAATAAACACTATTAAGGTTTGCAAGTCAAGCTCTGAAGACTTGAAAAGTAACATCTATAGAACTTTAATTAAACACTACAACATAGGCTTTAACTACCTGCCTAAATACTACTTATCCACACAGAATTCAGCTTCCTTTACAAGGCCCAGTGCTCACCAAGATGAACAACTGTTCAAAACCCTGCCTTTTCCACAAGTATTGTGTGCCACCGTGTCATATTTAATCAACAATTTCAGCCTTGGTTTAGTAACTCCAAGGAAGAGAAAATCCAGGAAGAGATGCAAAAGTCGTAACCAAGCACTAATTTCGGTTGCCCAATTTGAGATGCTAAGTGCTCTGAAAAAAACAGATCCTAGATAGTATAAAGAACAGCTCCCAAAGGCCGCATCATCACCACTTCAAAGCTTTAAATTTCCAAACGCTTCCATGCTTATGTGGTCTTAACAATGCTTTTTTAAACCCAACTTGTGGATAATATACATCTAGATTGGGGTAAATTAGGTTACAGTTATGCAAGAGATTTCTCTAGGTGCCATTCTCTAGGTGCCAGTGGGACTCCTCAGACACTTTAACATGTGCCTAAGTGCAAATACACCTTACTGCATCAGTGCTTTCACACAGAGGGAGAAAAAAAGGATAGCTCACCTTTCTCCTAAAGTACACGCTGAACCATCTCGATGTTAAGATTTGTATTTTACAAGGTTTTATTCAAATGGAATTTCACTGAGACAAGCTGCCTGTTCAGCAAAGTACTTCAAAGTATTTTTCAAGTCCCATCACACATGTAAGGTTTAGGTAAGTATCCAAGAGCTAACTTCAACTGGAACTAAGGTGACTAAAGAGTTTTCCTATTTGAGTTCAAACTGCGCTACTAGCTAGGTTAGTGAAATAATGGCTGCCAGCAAATATATAGAAAAAAATACACCATTCTATTAAAGTATTTTATATGTCTGTGAGAGTCAGTGAGACCTCACAGCTCAATTTTTGATCTGAGATTCTACTTCTGCATCCTACAACTAGAATTCCTTAGACAGAGAGTTATACTTCCTCTTGCCTCACGTTCCTCATTTGTAACAATTAAGTCTGACGTCCTTTAGAATTGCTTTGAAACTTATTGATGAGACTATTATGTGAGATGAACTACACATATCGATACTCAAAAAGCAAGCACAGCATAAAATACAATGCACACACCCCATTTCCTTATTGAACCAGTAAGATACTATAAAAATGTGAACTAAAACATACTTACAGAAACTTTATGAAGTACAGAGGCTTTGTTCATAATTTCTGTGACAAAAAGTACAGCAAGCATGGTGAGGGTCCACAATTATTTTTAACATCTACTCTAATATTTTTAACAGTCTAGTAATCTCTCCCTGCACCTAGAATTAAATAATCTTCAGAGCATTAAAAAAAAAAAAAAAAAAAAAAATGCTTGCCCTGCCCCTGCCCATCTTGCTACCTGTAGCAAATTAATTAGGAAAGCAGCAAAATGGCATGGGAATGCAGGCCATGGCCACATTTACATCCAGTCATCAGGATTGCTTATGGACACGCACTGCTCTGGGAGCACATTCCCAGGCAAGGAGAACAAGACATGTAAGCCTTTCCCTGATCCTGCTTAGCCCCCCCTTACAGGCAAGTGGGAGAGGCACCAAGCCTTCACCTACTCCCTCTTCACCCACCTGCACAAGCAGAGAAGAAAGCAGCCCTAACAGTTCTAAGCAGCTGACTATGAAAAGCAGCATTTCATAGTGCCAGAGATCCTCAATGCAGGGAAATTAGATCACTATGATAGAGCACAGAGTTAAGAGAGGCTACTTACAGCGTTACTGATAGACTGTGTCCACACTAGTAAATCAAGCAATGCCAGGAACTGTTCCCAGAAAATGGAACTCACTCAGTCACGCAGACCGCTGAACTGCTACAGACTGGCACAGCATGCTTCCAACAGGGGCCAGCTACAGCCCTCCCATGCAATTCTGGAGCATGATTTTGGATTTAACATAGGCCAGGAGCCAGTCCCAACCAGTAGCTTGTATTCAGCTATCCTGTTCTGGAAACCAGGAGAGTTTAGCAGCATTGGCCCGGGCTAATCCGTGCCAGCTGGCTTTAGGACCAGAGAACGATCCTGGTAACATTTCATTAACTGGTAAAGAAGTGATCATAGCCTCCCCCGGCTTTATCTGCTGTCATACCTGGCAGAAGACTTGAAAAGGGGCACATGCAATGAAGCATACCAGCACAGCCTGGTCAGCAATACCTTACAAAAGTTAAAAGTTATCTACACATTGTAGTGTACAAGAAGAAAATCAGAAATGAGTAGAGCTCGTCTTAGCTTCTTCCTGTCTCCTCTGAGCAGGCAAACCCAGCATATCATCTACTAATATCCACAGTCTCATTTATTTCCTCATTTTAATAAAAAAAAAAGTTTCATACATTTAAATTATGCTCTTACAGTAAGGCTATTCTCTAATAAAAGAGTCATGAAAATAGCGTAAGAAGCTGGGTTTCTGAGGGTTGATCATTTTGCAGTAAATATTTCAAATTAAAGTTATTTAAAAATTATTATTCTTCTAATTACTACTCACTACCAAATCTGTTTCTGCAGACTAAAAATATAATTATTAGTAATTCTATTATATTATCCTAGAAACACAGCTACCGTAATATTGGCAAATACATTTTCACAACAGGTAACTGTGCAAAAACAATGGAAAAAAATACATGACAACTGACATTATACGGCTATTCTGCGTTATCAATACTCTGAAATCTCTTTACAGTTTCAGATGGCTAGAAATGGTCAATTTAAAACTGTCCCTTTCATAACCCCATGCCTCTGCCACCTTTGCTCAAGTGTCAGGATGTGTAAGATGTCCCACAGAAAATGCACTGTGCAAAACTCATTGGCCACTGTTTAAGCATTCATGTTTTCAGTAAGGCTAAACAATTTTATTTAACAATCCTCTTGGGCATGAATCTAATGTGCCAGCTCTAACCGTTTAAGATGCATTACCTCTATCCTCATGCAAAACCACCGTCTTCTTGGAAAAGCGTTCTTACTGATTTACAAGGAAAACTTTATAATATGCTTTGCTATATACACATTAGCCTGCACTGGATCATCTAACTTTTAAGCATTCACGTATGAAGAAAACCATGTACAACACCCGAATAAAAATTACATGTTCATTTTTAAAGTACCAATTGTTTTCCATTTACTTAAGTAAGACACGTTTGTTTTGTTGTTTGTTTGGAGGTTTTTTTCGGTTTGTTTGTTTGTTTGTTTTTTTTTTTTCCCCCCCCTCAGGAGCGACTCCCCGCATCCGGAGCAACACGCACAACACCGTTCCAGACACCGGCAGGTTCTCCCCGGTCCAGAGTTTCGCACAACCAAGAGCCTGAAGGGAGCAGAGCAGGTGGCAGAAAGCCGCCAGCCCCCGCCGGGGCGTCCCGCCTCCGGGGGGAACCGGCGCCCCCACCCCCGGCTGACCGCCCCCAACAACGACCCCAACTCCCGGGGACCCAACACCCCCACCCACCCACCCACCGCCGCCGCCCCACGCAGGAAAACCCACACACGCACCCACCCCGCGGCCCGGCGGGCGGCCGTGCTGTGCTCCTCCCCCCCCCCCCCCCCGCACGCCCACAGGACGCCCCCCCCCCCCCCCCCCCCCCCCGCCGACCGTTGCCCGCCAACGGCTCCCGGGGCGAGGAGGCGGCACGGCCGCCCCGGGCCCACGCAACCGCCTCGGGGCGCCGATCCCCGAACCGGCCTAGCCCACGGGCTCGGACCCCCGCCGTGGGAACCGGCATAACCCACGCAGCCGCCGCTTCGACTCCACCCCACCCCGCTCCTGCCGCCCCGACCCCGGCCCCCGCTGGCAGCGGGGGCAGCCGCAGCCCAGCCCCGCGGAACTGCCGCCGGCGGACCCGGCGCCGGCCGCGCCGCCTCGCCTCGCCTCACCTCACGGCGTGGCCGGTGCCCTGCGGAGCCCAGCGCAGCACAAGCCCGGCCCGAACCCATCCCTCCGGGAAGTTTCCTGCCGTCGCGGCGGCGGGGGAAAACAAAAGCTTCGAAGCCGGGAGCAGGAAGAGGAGGAGGAAGGGCAGCGCAAGCAGAAAAGTGAGGGGGCATCGCTCGCCCGCCGCGCCGCTGCACGCACTCCCCCTCCACCCCCCCGCCCCGGCTACCGACCAACCCGGCAGGGCAGCCGCCTCAGCGCCCGCCTCCCCATTCGCTTCGGCGGCGGCTCTGCCCGAACGCAGCCGCCGGACAGAGCAGCAGGCAGACGAACCGCCGCCGCCTCCCTCGCCCTCTGCCCGCCCGCCGGCCGCCGCCGCCGCTCCCCGCGCCCGCCCGTCCCGCTCGCCGCAGCGCCGCCGAGCCCCGCCCGCGGCTCCGCCCCCCGGGGGCGCGCGCGCAGGCTGCGGCCCGGCGGCGGCGGGCGGCCCACAGCGGCCGCGGCCCTGAGGGCCCGCACCTGCGGGCGGAGGGGCGGCCGCGGCCCGGCTTAGCGGATCGTCAAGACACCCCACACCCCGCTCCCGCCTTTTCCCCTCACGTTCGTTTCTCGCAGCCAAGCATCGAGCGGGCTCCTCGTGTAAAGTTGTGAGGCGCCTCTCTTTTTTTTTTTTAAAAAAAAAAAAAAAAAGGGAAAAAAGGTAGATGCCGAGAGCTGGGTTAACAAACGCCGAGCAGCTGCGAGCCTCCGGCCGGGCAGGGCCATAAATACGGTACCGCGCGCTCGGTGGCATTGCGGTCCTTGTGTCCGTCGAGAATCCTCTGCCTGGAGACATAAAGAGTTGCGCCGGCTGATTTTTAAGGACGATAACCGAGCCTTGAACGCCCCCCTGTTGCCCCCGCAGCTAACTCGGCGGGGAGGGAGATTCGCCGAGCGGGTTGTGGTCGCGACGCTGAGGTCGCGCAGCATGTGGTACTGGCTGCCATATCGCCTCCGAGCAGGGGTACTGTGAATACTGGTGCTGAGAAGTGCAAGGTAATAGCTGGTAATTTCAGGCCGCAGTCTGTGTGGTTCAGGGGAGTTTATTGCGGCTCCAGCTAGTTGTTTTATTTTAATAATTAAAATATGTATTATTTGACAAGACTCGCTATATCATGTTAAACAGGTTTACAGGGATGTAAATTGATGTCTGAACCAGGAAGAGTCTTTCGCCATCCCTTTTTCCATTCAAACTTCATTTACCTGATTGCCAGCTAACAGATCTCTGTGTCAGATCACAGCTGCTCGCAGTGAACTCAGAACAGGAGAGAAAAAGAAAAGGAGGCTTCTCGTTCTCCTAAATGGATCTCTTAAGCCTGAAGCTGGTGTGATGCCAGCAGCATCTTATCAGCCACATCCGCTGATATTGCTTTGACTTTTGAGAAGTACAGCTCTCAGTTGAGTTCAGCAGTCCTGCACAGGTGAGGCTATGGTTGAGAACCACAAGGCGGATCTAGAGAGGAAGCAATTTCTTTTGGCTGCTTTAAAAATTCTTGACCAGCTAAAATCATTCCTTTATTCTTACATCTTCTTTAACAAGTAGGTGCAAGCACTTTTTTGTTGTAATTTCACATCAGAGGAAAATCGCTGTTAAGTTCTACTGATGATTTTGAGCGTAGAAAGAAAAAAAACCTGTGGGCTCTATTTTACTTTCTGGGATGCACTCTGAACTCCTCCCATTTGAAATAAGCATAACTAACCAGTGAGAAACTGCCCCACCGGGGTTTCTGATTTGTTTTGCTGTGATTGGCTGAATTCTTTAAATGCTTTATCTAGCAGCGGGGAGACATGATATATTGACTCAATTTGAAAATCCTCAGATATTATCACTGCACTCCATCTTGTGGAAGAGGCAACAACACATTTTAAAATGATCCTATAGTGGTCTTTCTGAGTAATCAAACCTAACAGTGTCTGGTTCTTACTGCCAAAGCAAGAAACTACAAAGAGCGGTGGATACAAGAAGTTGTTTAATTTTCAATCTACCTAATTGTACCCCATGGAGTTGTGTAAAGGTCCCTCGTTTTAGGTATGAGCTTCCCATCTCCTTCTTCTTTGTTTTGGAAAGGAGCTTTAGGAAAGCATTCAAAGAATGTAATTTGAAAAGGGAAACTAAAGCAGAAAGGAACCTGCTTTCTAGATGAGGTTGCCAAGGAGCACCCCAGATTTGGGAGGGTCTTCGAAAGGCTCCAGGTGGAACAGTGATGGTGATCTGATGGTGATGGTGAACAGTGTGGGGATATGTGGCTGGGGTAAAGACTGCTATGCAGGATTGCTCAGTAGGGAACTGACTGGTTTGGTTTGGGGTCTTCTTGTTACCCCTGTAAGAAATAAAATAATCTAGCTGTATCTGGAACACTGTATTGAGGATCACTATCTGTCTTACCCCCAAAAAAAATAAATGATGAAGTTCTCTCTGCCCTTCTGAAACTGCTTTTCGTGGCTTGTGACCTTTTTCCCCTTGATGTTCAGTGCTGCTTTGGGAAATCAGAATAGGTATTGAGGCGACAACTATGAACCATAGCAAAGGCATATTCATACGTATCTGTGTCTGGCTGGGTGCAGGGAAAATTGAGAAACTTACCTGGATTCACAGCTATTGAAAGGTTAACCTTATAATAGTTGCCCTAGGACAAGCTTGAAGAGAAAGCCATTTAACTTTAATGAATAACTTAAAATACAAAGAGCTAGTTATTCCAACTGTTCCTTGGATGGAGGAGAAAAAGGTTTTCTTGAGAAAAGGCTGAAGAAAAGCTTAGTCATTCAGACCTAAAAAAGCAAGGAAAAACAGGTCTTGCTCAGGAGGAAATTAGGAGAAGATTCTATTGTACAAATGAGGATCCTCTGAATTGCCTCACCACAGAAGCAGGTTCCACAAGGAGGCTAAATTTAATTAGCAGACGTGAACTGTAGGGGGTTTTGTTGTTGTTGTTTTGTTTTGTTTTTTTTTTTTTCCATAATTCCCCCCTCTCTTGCAATATGCATTAATGTATGTGCCTCTCCCCGGGATGTGACGTGGAACTGCAATGCTGAACAAAGCACTGGCCTTTTTTGTTTCATTTACTGGGGAGAGGCTTGAACAACACAGTCGTCAACTTGCTGACTGCTCCAAACAGTGCGGTCTGGTAGGGTGGAATTGATCTGCTTCAAGTAATGCCTCAGTGCAAACAAGGCCTCAAAGGTGGAGTGTCTCTTTCTGACTACTATTATAACAGTGGAGACAGGTCTCATCAATTCCTGAGATAACATTAAGGGCAGAGAATTTTTGTCGACCACAGTATTTGTTAGCCTTTTCCAGACTCCTTGGTCATTTTCCTAGAGCAATGACTCATCACTTCATCACTGCGCTGATTACATTAAATTGTTACTACTATTATTATTATTAAAATATAAGTAACATAATGCTTCTGTTAATTCACTTTGTGCGCAACTGTCAGAATGCTTGAAACAGTTGTCAGCTGAAAACATCCTACATGAGCATTTCAGCATTATTTGGACTTTTCCTGATTGTTCTATTCATATTTATGATATTTAACTCTGTTCAGTGATGATTCTCAACGTAGTATGGGAAAACTCAAGGCAAATAGTCAGACCTTTCTGTGAAACCATTAGTATTGTATGAAGGGAAATCGGGACATAACATGACTGCTTTAAAGTTTTTACTAAAATTTAGCCTCAGAACTTTTTTTTTTTTCTTACAGAACAGGCCAAAGAGTAACATTGGGGCGGGGGTGACAGAGAAGAGTTGCCCAAAAGAAAAGGTGTGCTTTTTAGAAACATTGAACATGGATGGCAAAATGATGCAGTTATTTTTTTTTTCCTAACAATAGCGAAAAAACGTACAAGTAAACAGAAAAAAAATATCAACTACTCATAGATTTTATATTTGCACTTATTTTATTAAGGAGTTAGTTGTATACAAACCCAAAAGAGTCTTGAGTTTCAGGATGTCTGAGCTCTACACCCGGAAGAAATAGAGGAGTTCAAAATGTGGTTTCTGGTATATCCAACATAAAAACTTTAACATCCCTTTTGCCTGCTTCTTCTTTGTAATAGAATGAAGTTGAAGATACGAAAAAACATTGCATAGTGTAACAACAAAGGGACAGTACCAAACTCTGATCTTGGTGGGGTTATTCATGTGCTTGAAGTTACACAAGTATTTTGGTCTGCCCATATGTGGAATGCAAGCAAGCTCACCACAGTAACTGGAGTGAAGAAAGACTGGATGAGTAAGGATTATAGTGAAAAAACAGACTGCTATTTTGAAGTGGAAATTTACGACATTTATCTGAGAATTGGTGCAAAAGGCTTGTAAACTGGAGCTGAGTTGGAAATGTAGCATGAAAATGCTTTCACATCTTTCTCTGGAAAAATTGGGTCCTCTAGAGCTGCATTTGCAGTGTAGCAAATATCAGCTATTTATTTCCTCACAGCTTCAGTCCTTTAGTTCACTATCCTGTTTTCATTCTGAGAGGAAGAGAGAAAAAGTGTTTGAACAAAATTTGTGTCATTGTCAAGCAAATATGAGATCATTTATTATGTAATTTCAGGTATCGCCATGCATTCAGTGTCTCTGGCCATCTGACTGCTATTGAAGTCATTCTTCTTTTATTTCTCATAGCAAAAATGAAAAGATGGTCAACAAACCTCATAAATTCACCTTCTTCTCAAAGGACACAGGCAGCTTCAGTTGCTACTGTTTGCCTTTGAAGCAAGATAAACCAAAGCTCTACTGCATCTGTGTGCCACCCACATTGCCATGAAAAAAAACTGTTTTGGGAAAATTCAACGTTCAGCTCCTGATCTGTGAGACCCTGAAGTGTCTGGGCTGTAACTTAAGTCCTTCAGCAATTATAATAATTTCAGAAGCTTGTGAAAGTAGAGGGCGTGGCACAGAATAGTCCCCAAAGTGGTATTTTGCCCCAGAAGCTCAACTCTGAGAACTATGTCTCTTCGTCCTGTGGCCCAGATTTAAAAAAGGAATGAGACTCACAACACTTCTCTTCATTTAGACCCTCCTGTAAGAGAACCAACTGACCTCCCCTTGTAGTTAGTGTGCTGGAGACTTTCTGGTATTTCTGATCTTGGCAGGAAGGCTACGTCCAATATTACTAAAGTCGATATACTCTTTTTAATATGATGTTTGTTTCATTTTGTTCTTTAATCCAGGGGCAAAAATCTTGATGCATGGACTTCCTAGAAAGGAACTATAAACTTGTTTCCCTGCTCTCTGCCCTTCCCTCCCCCCAGTTTAGTGTTTCCTGTGCTTCCATGCAGTGGGTGTAATAAAAGAAGTGT